AAATTGTCTATTGTAGTGTGATTGTGGGGAATTTTGCTGTAAATTGTCTATTGTAGTGTTATTGTGGGGAATATTACTGTAAATTGTCTATTGTAGTGTTATTGTGGGGAATATTGCTGTAAATTGTCTATTGTAGTGTTATTGTGGGGAATATTGCTGTAAATTGTCTATTGTAGTGTTATTGTGGGGAATATTGCTGTAAATTGTCTATTGTACTTGTAGTGTGGGGAATATTGCTGTAAATTGATTATTGTAGTGTTATTGTGGGGAATATTGCTGTAAATTGTCTATTGTAGTGTTATTGTGGGGAATATTACTGTAAATTGTCTATTGTAGTGTTATTGTGGGGAATATTGCTGTAAATTGTCTATTGTAGTGTTATTGTGGGGAATATTGCTGTAAATTGATTGTTGTAGTGATATTGTATGGAATATTGCTGTAAATTGTCTATTGTAGTGTTATTGTGGGGAATATTGCTGTAAATTGTCTATTGTAGTGTTATTGTGGGGAATATTGCTGTAAATTGTCTATTGTAGTGTCATTGTGGGGAATATTGCTGTAAATTGATTATTGTAGTGTTATTGTGGGGAATATTGCTGGATATTGTCTATTGTAGTGTCATTGTGGGGAATATTGCTGTAAATTGTCTATTGTAGTGTTATTGTGGGGAATATTACTGTAAATTGTCTATTGTAGTGTTATTGTGGGGAATATTGCTGTAAATTGTCTATTGTAGTGTCATTGTGGGGAATATTGCTGTAAATTGATTATTGTAGTGTCATTGTGGGGAATATTACTGGAAATTGTCTATTGTAGTGTCATTGTGGGGAATATTGCTATATATCATCTGTTGTACTTTAATTGTGAGAACTTAACATGTAAATTGTCTGTTCAAGTGTTGTTGTGGGGACATCACTGAAAATTGTCTGTTCTACTGATACTGTGCAAATATCACTTGTAAATCGTCTGTTTAACTGTTGTGGAAATATAAACTGTAAATTGCATATTGTATCCTATTAAATACCTGTTTAAATGTTAGAAGTAACTAAGAAGACACACAAACATATTCATACCATTTGTCTACAAAGTACAGAAACATCACTGTATTGCCACACTCCGAACATAATTTGAAATCATCCAATCAGATCTTCTCAATATCTGTGTGTAGGTGTCAGCCAATCATTCTCTGAACAAGTATAATCTTATTTACGTTTAGTCGTTGTCACCTACAGAGTTAATACACTACAGCCAAACTTGCTTAAATACAGAAAACAGTTCACATTTCCTTTTTGTGCCTAAATAGGAACACAAACATATACATAACTATGTACAAAGCTAGACTAGATAAAGCATGATAAACATCAGATAAATAGATCATAAAACAAGCACTATACAAGGTTTATAGTTGCGGTCATCAACCATATATTGCTTTTTAATTGAAAAAAGGGTACATCCCATCTATATACATTTTATAAATAAACTGGTAACATAAATTTGTTATACAATCTTGTCTATATACACAAGTTATATTTATCCATATTATACAGAATGAACAACATTTTGGATCACATTAAGAATGACTATATATACATAATATACAACAAAACTTTAAACAAAAAACCTATAATAATGAGATAAATAATAAAACATCAGATCACTATATGTAAAGCCTTGTAATAATAAAATTAAACCACAATTGGCAGTTATGATGCTGCAAGAAATATGTACTAAAAATGTACGACTTGTGCTTCTAGAATGAGATGTAATTGGTATGATACTATCAAAGAATACTGCGTTAAGTAGCAGTGCTATATATAATGCTGGTATATTTCAACAAGATTGGGTAAAGTTACTTTCTATCACACTTTGGTTGTATTATGTGGCCATTATTGGGAAATTGTTAAAGAGTACAAGATACTATTTACTGAAACATGGGACTTCACAATGTCAAATTATTTCTGAGAGAAATAATACTGTCCTTATGTCAAAAATACTTTTATACTACAATAATAACAACATTCATGTACATTTGCCTGTAACCAATAACATGTCAATACATGACATCCTATACATGAAGAAGTACTGACATGATGTACATATCATATTTATCTAACTTAATGCCTATGCCTAGTTTTAAACCTAACCCACATCTATTACAGTTCTGTCCTGTAACAGGCTCATCTCCCATTCTGCTTGTCCACTGAGCTTACACAAGATAAATATGACACAGGATTTGAAAATTTGTTGTTGTAAGATGTTTCATTAAACTTAAAACCACTTCTATTGCTGGATTATTGTTTCAAGCCAAATTTGTACAAATATATATACTTATATTGTATGAATAAGCCTACGGTGCAACACATTCAGTTTCACTCTGTCATAGGATGGGCTTATTCCAGCAAATGACATAACATTTGGTGGTATCTTTAATAAACATAAACATATAGGGATGGGCTTATTACCAGGCATGGGCTTATTGGTGTAACATGTTTCTATAAGAACTGTCACAGGTACAAAATTTCTGCTTCAGGTATCCTACCTTTACAATTAAGAATCCAAAAGTAAGAATAATAAGTGACTTATAAAGTTTTATGAATGAAATACAGTGTAACCATCAATATTATTATTTACCAGCTTTGTAATGATATTAAGTTTTGCAATAAAATCTCCAATTCACATTTTTCAATCTACTAATCTTTTTTATTTTACAACATAGCTTTCTGCACGACCAGAAATGTGCATAAAACATAAGATTTTTGATAAATAAAACATTAAAAAGCACTTTAAAACATAAATAAAAAAAAAGACAATTTTGTGGAACAGAGTCTGTTTATATTGTTCAATAATTGGAAATACGTCAATTTATGGCAAAGATGTCTGTCGTCACTGTTGGTGACAGGAAGTTTAGGATTGAGATATTGGACGTGCCTTCGGAAAGTATGTATTATGCTTTATACATCGGTAAGAACAAACTGTAAGGCTATCTACATGCTTCTAAGAATCAAACTTTTCGTGTTTCTGTAAGAACGCAGTAGTAACACAAAATAATACACAATAGGTTTTGTAAATATGAATGGCAAGTTAAGGCTGTTAAATATTGCTCTTTGTTCTTTTACTTGTAGTTTGCACTGTATCAACTGGACATATTATGGGGGACACACTTTTCCAACCCGGGTTGCACTCAAACTTGTCCTGTTATGGGCAACCTTGGTACCTGTGACAGCCCTATATCTCTACTAATGGAATACAATCTAAAGCCAAATATTCAGAGTATAATGTGCGACTCTTTCTGCCACTGAATCATAAAATGGTACATGATATTAAGATTTATAACTAATTTGGGTGTGTTCTACTTCAATCAGATAGGATGGGACTATCAAATGAGAGAGCTTAATGCGGACTGAACAGGGAGAGTGCAAATGTAAGTAACAGATATTGTATCACCTGAACGGATACAGAAAGTAAATTTGGTTATATAATCAGTATCCACCATCCCATCCTACACAGACTTGGTCCACTACAGCAAATTGTAAAAAATCATCCAGAAACAACCTGCAATAACTAGTAAGTAATATGATCAGTATTTGGCTTTATAACATGACAGAATGACTGTTGAAGTGTGTCAATGACTACCTACTCTACTTATTTTTGTTTTCAATCATACAAATTAAAAAAAAAAAAATAACGCAATAATTTTTTTAAATAATTGATCTTTTTTCCCTTACTAATCTTTTAAAAAATGTTATTTTTGGACAAGCCTAAGACAATATTGTAAAACTGGAGTTGTCGGAGAATTATGAAGTTAAACATAAAATTTTTTGATACAATTCTGTATAGAATTTTATGTTTAAAAGAGAATGAGGATAACAGATATCATTCTAGAAGAAATGTGTTATTTCATATCTTGTTTCTTGTTTAACTGCAGACTTGGTCATAAAAGGAACATTTCAAAAATGGTTAAAAATGAAAATTGAATAAATTATTCTTTCCCTGAATCAATGTTTTAATGTTGAGGAACCAAACTCTGCATCCTATTACAGATATTTACTATTTACACCAAAGTTTTAACTTGGAGTTTTTTGGAGAAAAAAATTTGAAACAGGTCAAGTCTACAAGAGAAGAGTTTTTCTTGTATAAAGTTTTTAAAATGCATCAATGTTCAATCTGTATAGAGCAACAAAATGAATTTACTGTCAACTGTAAGAAAAAAGTTGTAACTAAAATATTTAAAATGTATGGGTGGGTCTCTACTGATATAAAATGCATAGTTTTAAATTCTAGCACCTTTTTTCAATTGCATGACTTTCTGCCAAATTGCATTACAAACAAACAACCATATCTAATTCCAGTAATATTTTACTAAATGCAAACATTATTTTTTTTGTCAATAGCACCAATTAAAATTCAGCTAAATTCACCCCTGAATAGGCACCTCTTTTTCACAAGTTACTACCATGTGGCTGTGAAGCGTCAAATGTAGCTTACAGCTTGACAAAATGTTGCTTCAATTTACAACACCATTACACAGTAAAGCAAACATCCATCACAACAGCTGAAACTGTTTTGAGAGTATTGTTTGTGAGCAGGGTTTTAATCAACACCCTCCACTACACTCCTGTACTAAAACACTTTTGTATTTCACAGCCCTCTCTACTGGAAGATAAACATTGACTGTAGAGTTCACGAGACATCTCAAGAAAAGTCACAGCTTTACAACAATAAACCTTACAAGGTAGATTGTTGAGTACTTAAATATCACAAATACTGATCCTCTTGTCTACTGTAGGATTGTAACGAGGAAAGATAGAATGTAAGAAAATTAAAATTGCTCCGTCATCTCTTTCATTCACACTAATGACCTCCATGTTTTGTCAGTCTACATACTCGCTCCAGAATTAAATAACACTTGACAATAGTTTCTCATGTTTAACACAAGAAACTAAATAATTGGTATTTGCTAAATGGCAATATGACATTCTACCCAACATTTCTCTCCATTATCACACCTGCCAAAGTAATAAATGGTTGGTACTATCATCCCGTCCTGCGACTTCATTGGTTGAGTTATTGCGGAAGTCTTCATATCCGTCTCCTCCACTTATGACCAGCATCCTTGTTGCCATAGTAGCTGTTGTTGCCGCCATTGAGGATCGTCGATGAATGTCGTGAATTGCCAGATTGTCTGGTTTATTGTCAGTCTCTTCATCCTCAGCTCGGGGTTTAGGTGTTGTTGGGGATGATGGAGCTGTTAGTTCTACACAGGTCAGGAATCTTACATGTCCCGTGTGGCCAAACACCAGACCTTGAGAATAGAAGGATGTTTATAGCAGTGTTTTTCTTAAAACTTCTGTGTTGTCCTATCTACCTGTCAACTATCCTGATTAACACAAGGACAGGAAATTCTACACAAGTACAGGACAATTCTCTCTGAAACATTCTATTCATTCACAAATTCATCGGGGAAATACAAATCTGTCATTATCTTCTTGGAAAAGATAACATTCTCAATAGATGTCGACTCTAAAAAGTCATATTTTCATTAAATACAGCACAAGTCAAACTTGGATAAAGTCATCAATTCATAAAACATTTCATGGGCATTTAAGATGGCATGATTGATTTAATTCCTTAAAACAACAAATAAGGTGTGGTAGGAAAATAATCAATTAGTTTTGTGTGAAGCAGAAAGACATATCAAGATATTTTCTATCATTATAGTCTGGTGCTTAATCTTGTAAACCATACACATGTTTAAGATGTTGTTATCTACCTTTCATAAAGGTGAGAGAATTTATTAATCTGATATCTACTTTCCTTTATGTGGGCGAATATGAAGCTCTATATGGGGGGGATAAACAACTTACCAGTAACTGAAGGGGTGGATATGGAGCCCCTTGTGGAGGTGGACGTGATGCGGGGCATCGGTATAGTGAGTATGACGCCTGCACTGGTGCCCACCCATAACAAGTCCTTACACACCAGTAGAGCTGTGATCCGCAGGCAAGCCGCCTTGTGCTGTCGAATGATGTCGTCAGCCGCTACAAATATCATAGCCATAACAACTTTTAATTTCTCCAAAATCACCATAAGCAAATCAGAGTTAATACTGGCTTCCAGACAACTTTGAAATCCCTTTATATTCTATCATGTAAGATATCACCATGTATTTTGATCTATTTATTTTAGTACTAAAATTGACACACTATTCCTGGAAACACCAGGTACTTAAATTGCAGAAAACAAAAAACAAAAACAAATCTATAAATGTCATGGCTATTGCTCAAACCAAGTCTCAACAAAAGTGTGACCATGATTATTTGTACCACTCACTAACACTAAAGGAGTTCTTATAAATAAACAAATACAATGTCACAACGGCCTTCGGTATTATGCATATGATTTTTTTCAAGAAATGTGATTCTATCAGACAAAAGTAAGAAAATCACAAAAGTGACTAATCATTGAAATGAAAATGAAATGCATACATATAGCTACCTCCTTATGATTCTATAGTATGTCACACAACTAGCAACTTGTGATCATATAGTTTATAGGGACAAGATGGAGTACCCGGCTGACCAGAGTTAATGTTTGTAGTGTAAGCAAACAGAGAGACTTGTAGGGTTTTGTCTGAGATAAGTTTCTGTCTAGAGGGATCAAAATAGGAGAAGTAATGTTGAAAATAGTTAGAGATCAGATTGGGTAGAAAGCACGAGTGGAGAAGAAAGAATTCGAGTAGAAGCTGGCTGATACTTACATTGAAGTTTCTGGGCTACAGAGTGAGCAATGTTGACCTCCAGCAGTGGCTCAAAGGATGTGGCATGATAAAGCGAGATCTTTGAGCTATGCTGTGAGGCAAGCCACACACCCTGCCCTGCACACACCAGGCACTGGATACAGCGACTTGAGTCGGACGTCACCTGGAACGTTGTCTGTAACACAAACAGATTTTTCTCTCTCAGTTGATTACATGTGTTTACACAAGATTTCTGCTCCTATACAAAAATAAGAAGCCAATCTAGTGTAAAACTCAATGTTGTGATACTATTGGGTAAATATGAACCGACTCTGTTGAAAGGTTGCCATGGGAAGCATGTCTATCCCAAAAAATGGGAAGCATGTCCATCCGAAAAAAGGAAGCATGTCTATCCCAAAAAATGGGAAGCATGTCCATCCGAAAATGGGGAAGCATATCTATCCCAAAAAATGGGAAGCATGTCCATCCGAAAAAAGAGAAGCTTGTCAACCCAAAAAATGGGAAGCATGTCAACTCAAAAATTGGGAAGCATGTCCATCTGAAAATGGGGAAGCATGTCTATCCCAAAAAATGGGAAGCATGTCAAATGTCCATCAGAAAAAAGAGAAGCTTGTCAACCCAAGAAAAAGAGAAGCTTGTCAACCCAAAAAAATGGGAAACACGTCTATCCCAAAAAATGGGAAGCATGTCCATCCGAAAAAAGGAAGCATGTCTATCCCAAAAAATGGGAAGCATGTCCATCCGAAAAAGGGGAAGCATATCTATCCCAAAAAATGGGAAGCATGTCCATCCGAAAAAAGAGAAGCTTGTCAACCCAAAAAATGGGAAGCATGTCAACTCAAAAAATGGGAAGCATGTCCATCTGAAAATGGGGAAGCATGTCTATCCCAAAAAATGGGAAGCATGTCAAATGTCCGTCCGAAAAAAGAGAAGCTTGTCAACCCAAGAAAAAGAGAAGCTTGTCAACCCAAAAAAATGGGAAACACGTCTATCCCAAAAAATGGGAACCACATCCACCAAAAAACCAGCAAGACATAACAGTCTCCCATACAATAAAACATATAGAGCAAACCTGACTTAAGGGTATATGCTATCTAAGCTGTCACACAGGAACAAAACAATTTTAATTTCTTATGTGGTGAGTGTCGTTACTTACCTCTATTCGCAATGTGAGAGGGTTAATGACATTCATGATATTCTGACAGCCACACCAGAGCTTGCCCGCCACTGCTAACATGCGACTGATAGGAGAGATGACACTACCAACAGTACGTGTATATGGGTTCTCGGTGTCCCAGATACCATCTAAAACAAACATATGACACGGTCAGAATCTAATGCGGGAAAACATCTTAGACTAGAATTTACAATCAGCAGCAATGAAAGAATTAATATCAGTGTTTTCACAACAATGGATTCCACTTCATGAAGTTGACTTTGTGTAAATAAACTTTTTTCCTTGCACATCATTTTTTTCCCTGTATGTTTTTTCAAACCATACAAAATGACTGAGAGTTCTCTTAGTAGCATGTTCTCATTCCGATATAAAGCAAGAAGGTAATACTGTTATCTAAATACAGTTCATTAAACTTTATTTTGTAAGATTATCATGGAGCATAGGTTTATGATATGAAGTATTTGAAATTTTGTTTATTTCAAATTAGAAGAGTTTTAAATTAACATTCCTTACATCGCATTCTTCTACAAATAAGAAAAGACATCTAAAGTAATGACGTTTCAAACCTGAGTCTCTCTTGTACACTATTAAGTCCCCATTGGCTAAGGAAACAAACACCTTGTTGTCTAAATATCTGAAACACAAATCAAAACTGATATCAACTAAGCATGAATAACACAAACCAATCACTAAAAATCCACACCATTTCAACCGTAATTGAAGATAATGTAATTACTTTGATCAACAAGTAGGCCTACTCTTAGACTTGGGCATTCAAAATGAAACTTGTACTTACACTATACAATACACTGGGGATCCATGGTGAATCTTGAGTTTATTTTTTGTGGTTTTGATATTGTCTGTGCATTGGAATATGTGAATACTGAAAAGATAAAATGGTGAAATTACATATAAACTGAAACTATGGAAACATGTACACAATTAAGTCATGGTAACACACATACATGATAATAATGGTAACAAGTTAGTTATGGTAACCGACAATTACTATACCTATAAAGCATTCATAATCTTTATTTGATTTCCAACAATTGGGAAAAAGGTTATTTCAACTTATATAAATCACTCTTGTTAGCTAAGATTGCAGACTATAAGGTGCCAAAGTGGGAAGAAACATGGTTACCAAGGAAACAGTCAACATGGTTAGGTATGTTACTCCATACCTTTCCACATCCAGTTGAGAGAATTATACCCTGATCATATTGGTGAACAAGTCCATTAAATATTGACAAGGGTCTGGAAAAATATTTTAAACCATTAGGCACAGGACTAGTGGGCTGATCGTCCGGATTGGAAATTTACTCGTCCAAATTCATCTATGAAATGGTGACTTAATCAGCAAGGATGTGGCATGCGACATTTTTCCTATTTTTATTTTAAATTTTAGTGAAAAAACTATGCAGTGATGGCTGATTTGTGTCAGACATTGTGCACGACTTATGCCTAGCTGTAGTGTTTGTTTACATCCGACTAACTAGGTGCTGCTAAAGACAGACCGGTACATGTTTGTACTGCCCGAGAGCTCCTGACATCATTCGCAGGAAAAAGACTAAGGTATTCCGAATGCTATATTTGACATCATGGGAGTTCCAGTGTAATCAAAAGTTACAGTGCAGACTGGAATATTTTGTTTCCGAAGTACTGTAAACACGTTTCTTTGTTTTAAATTTTCTTTACATTTTTATTGAAATTGAAGTTGTAACATTAATATCATTGGAAAAAAGTACTTGTCCGACGGACAACAAACAAAGATAAATCTGGTTGTCCGAGACAATTTTCACTCGTCCACGACGACCAGACAAGTGCTTTTCCGGACCCCTGATTGTACTTAAAAGTATCACACAGTAGTTAACAAACTGCCGCAGCATATATAGCAAACCACAAATCATGTAGATATGGCAGCACACAGTAGCTATGGTAACACACAGTAGTTATGGTAACACACAGTAGCTATGCATTAACTATATATATCTAAAGTATCGATGGGAACACACTAATTACAGTGACTCACAGTACCCTACACACAACAGATAGGTAATACAAATTCCTTGTTCACACATCTTCTAACAATAAAACAACATCTTAAAGAACAATGACACTTCCTGCTGATTCAGTGATAAACCTACCAGCCATCCTCCGTGCCCAACCACATGGTACTCTTGTGAGCATCCTGAAGCCAGTTTCCAGTCATGGTGAAGGGGTCCAGGTTGATAAGCTGTGACACTGGACTTGCTTTACCCTCTGACTCTGTGATAGATCATTAGGTTAGTAGTGATTATACTCTCAGAAATACTTCATCACAATATTGCTGGAATGTTTTGGCAATCTTGACTTTTTACTTAAGTTTATGATTAGAGCAATGAGCTTTCAAACAGTACTACTTGTGTTTTCAAATGTTATAAAAGAAATTCTATCATACTTCTTTAAAGTATTTCAACTTTTAGAAAATGTTATGACAAAACTTTCAAAACAGAAAGTTTCAAAAATAAAACTGAAGGTCCAAATCTCTTTTGGTATTATGTATCAGAGACCATATCCATGATAAGCTTATATATTGTATTAAGTGTCTTCTATATATGGTCCATACCACCTACCTACATATCCAAGTTTCAAATCTAAAATTAAAGTTCCAATCTCATTTCCTGAAGTATTACATAACATAGACACTGACCACGATACAGCTTATATAATGTTTAAAATGTTGTCTTTATAAGGTTCTAACCTCCTAAGTACAGATCCTTAGGTTTGTTATCAAACACAGTCTCGCCTTCCTCCTTCTCCTGTGGTGCCTCTTCCTCCCCTTCTAACTCTTTCTCTCCTTCCCCTTCTTCCTCTAATTCCTCTTCTTCATCTTCATCGCTAGACTCTGAATCTGTTTGATATCCAGATGCTGCATCCTCCTCAGGCTCTGACACATCATCCACCTCTTCTATGTTGATCTGGGGACCATCTTCTGCCACTGGTGGAACTGAGTGTTTGTGGAGGTTTTTCTTAGAACTGCTCTTTCTGTAATGCAAGGAAAGACTTCAAGTCTGGGGCAATCTCAACATCAATGTATGTTTTACAATCGTTGTATTCTGATATAAGTTCAATATTCTGTTGAGTAGGACATGTTTAGGAACCAAAATCTTTATAGTGAAAATAAATCTATTTAGAAACTTCACCTAAATGGAGTTTAAATGTGATATAACGCTATGAAGAATAGATGCCAAGTAGAAATCATTATATGAGAGTTACTATTTCTTTATTCACTTATTCATTTATTTTTTGAATTGCTGGTCAGACACCTATATCATTCAGCCACAACAGTCCCATATAAGAGAATATTATAACATCTTTCTTGACAGCCCACATGTAAACACAAATTTATATTCTTGAAAGACAAACCTCCTAAATGGACCACTGAAGGCTGGAACGGCACATATACACAGTATACGGGCATTACAGCCAGGTACAGGTGTGTTTAAGGTAACGATTGGCTCAGGTTGAAGGCTCAGCAGGCACATGTGACCCACATATCCATCACTATTACACACCCACACGTCACGGTAACCGCTATTGTTCAAGCCATCAATGGGGGCCGCACAAGAAAACTGTCAACAAAACAGAACCATATCATATCTCCTATGATATACTTAGGCACAGAAAAACTGTCCCTAACAGACACCTGCATTAAATTTCGCATAAGATACTAATGCATATAACACTTGTCAATGTCTGTGTCAGTGCATACAAATGTTTCCAGCATGGAGTATGCTACATATACCCATACTAAATTCTTTAAACATTGTATCTAAAAGAAAAAAATCTTTTAATTACTCCAAGATCTTTCAAATTTTTTACTCCGGCAATATAGACCCAAAATTTGCAAAACTCTTTCCAACCGAGTTGAAACAATAAACAATACCTTTATTTATATTTGTATTTTTATATGGAATAGAAGTGATCAGGTTTCCCATTGAAGATCTGTCTTCTTCACAATAAGGACAATTATCATCGTTTAACTAACTGTAATTACACTGTATACAATAAAATTACCTGCATTCCTGCTCTTGTCTTTGTAATCTGTAAAGGTTGTTGGAACTCTGGTGCTCTTTTGTCAGACAGTAATGCTACAATATAGGTAAACATATAGGTATAAATACTACAGGTAAACATACAGGTACAAATACTACAGGTAAACATACAGGTATAAATACTTCAGGTAAACATACAGGTAAACATACAGGTATAAATACTACAGGTAAACATACAGGTACAAATACTACAGGTAAACATACAGGGGTAAACATACAGATATAAATACTACAGGTAAACATACAGGTACAAATACTACAGGTAAACATACAGGTATAAATACTACAGGTAAACATACAGGTACAAATACTACAGGTAAACATACAGGTATAAATACTACAGGTAAACATACAGGGGTAAACATACAGATATAAATACTACAGGTAAACATACAGGTACAAATACTACAGGTAAACATACAGGTATAAATACTACAGGTAAACATACAGGTTTAAATACTACAGGTAAACATACAGGTATAAATACTACAGGTAAACATACAGGTACAAATACTACAGGTACACATACAGGTATAAATACTACAGGTAAGTAAGCATAGAGGTAAAAAGTACCAGTCAGAACACCTGAGAAACTTGTCAGACAGTGATAACAGATAAAGTTACAGATAGTAAGGTGTAGCTATGTTACATAGGTGATAAAATTACAGGTGAACATACATAATTTCTGTTTAGCATCCAGCAATGTTGATTCCCAGATGGCTCGCTTCTCAGCAGAACTAAAGCAGATCTCCAAGGGATACACCCCTTCCCTAAGAACAGAGAAAATGCATTGAGAGACAAGACTATTTAACACATTAAAAAACATGAAATTTGTTTAATTTTTCTATGTAAATATCAAAATATTGAATTTCTTGACAAAATTAAGGAAAATTTTCTGGAAAAATGGAACGGATGCTTCAGTTCTCTGATTCCAACAAAGACCTATCATTCTTTATCAATGAGTAGTAATTAAGATATTTCCAATGGCCTTCAACGATGAAATGACTAAATCAACCAATTCTTATTTTTGTGAAAATATCTTGACATTTCAAATGGAAAATAATTTTATGTCTTAACAGCATGGTTAAAAATGGATCACCAGAAAGGTGAATGAACTGAACATCAACATCTGCTATCTATGGTTCAATAAGTAGACAATATATAAATGGGTCCAAATACTTACTGTGTTGTGACTAGAATTTCCATTTTGTTTGACTCTAAGGTTGGACTTCGTATGCAAACTTCAGAAAATTGTTTATTTAAAGATGCCAGCATCTCCTTTACGACATCATCAAGACTCTGAAACATAATCACCCAAAGCATGAGTAAAACAACTTGAAATATTTGATTTATTATGACAGCCTTGACAAAACATTATGAAAGAATAATTTTTAAAATGTGCTGAAAGCAAAAAAGTCAAAACTCCATATGAAAATATTAGTTGCACAAGATAGCCAATTTACAGAGTCAGGGTTAACAGCTGAAGTCTTTGAAGACTTTAACATGATGTAACAAAATAACAATATTCAGGCAGAAAAATAGTTGAAGGGGCTACAAGAAAATCCCCATGTATTTAAAGTAAAATGATTTTTAACAGACATGTAATGGCAACAACAAAATATAAATTGTAAGGATTATCTCCCTTGGATCAAATTTGCCTATCTCACAAAACCCAATACAGGATTACAGCACATGTAGCTGTCGCCATAAAGATGCAGGGGCACCAGGAACTGATAATATCTGTGTAGTGTGTAATAAATATGGTAAAGTTTTCTGAACACATGATGGACATAAAACACTGCTGAATAACCTACTTCAGTTTTTAACAAACTGTTCAATCACAATTAATAGACGCTAATCCAGAATGTACAACCAAGCAAATGCTGCAGTCTCAAAGTCGATTTGAGTTTTTTGCCCTGATATCAGAAATGTTGAAACTGGTTGTTTCAGGGAGACCAACTCTATGTATTACCTAATAACCTAAACTGTTCTTCTTTAATTAGCATGCTACAATTTAGTTGTTACATGTGTACATACAGAATGTGGATAATTGAGTTTATTGGTCATGTCAGTGATCTCTGTCAGAATGTTGATGTCTTCCTCCAGTTGATCTGGGTCAAGTGAACTCTTTTTACTGGGAGGAATTTGACCTGGAAACAGATAGAAATAGTCAGTAAAATATCTTTTTAACAAGAAAGTTTATGTTGGACATGCATTAACTTATGTATATTACACCATTTCCGATTTAATGGAAAAACAGTTGTACACTAAGCCTGACAAAAAGTGGCAGGTGGAAATATAGTATTATGGTATCGTATTCCTCAGTATGTATTCCTCGTATTCCTCATATGAAATTGGATTTGATTTATGACTGTCCTACTTCTACATTTTTTTTAAAATATCCTTTGTTTTTCTTGACAATTTATTAAAAAAAATATTTCCATGTAAAAAACATAGTATAAAAAAACTTTTTTGAAACTAGTTTAATACAGGGCAAATTTCCTGACATCCCTGACATCAGTTTCATGTTATGAGCTGACTTGAGAAACCAGCAGATTACTTACTTTTTACTATCTCTATGTTATCAAGTCCAACCCGCAGCCAAACCTTGTGTTTAATGTTCTCTGCATATTCATTTCCGGTTGGAGATTTCCTGGAAATCCAAGTAAGTGCAAATTATTTACACAACAGAGATATTAATGAAATTCTTAATAGCAGGACATGGAGTTTATTTCTAATATTTATCACAACAGATATTTCAAGTGTAGTATTTTAAACAAAACAGAAACTGTGCATCATACTTACAGAATAACTGAGACTTTGCGTGTCACTGGTCCACCGCGCCGCTTAATACTGCTAAATATGACCAGGTCGGAAAATATCCATATACAACATTGGTCCTTTTTAGTCTGTTAAATAGAGCAACACGGATTCTGAATGTTTCTAGCAGTACATTTCAAGTTCCAAACCAATTAGCAATTTCTTGGAAGTTTACACTAAAAAATTCTATTTAAACAGCATGATAAAAAATATCTGGCTTTCCATCCGAAACAAATTATAATGAATAACAAGATCTTACTGTAAAATGATACATTTCCCTGGAGTTTAATTTTCGTGGATTTAAAAAAACCAAAAGTTTTTCCAGGAAACTTGATTTCATGGAAAGATATTGCTCTATATATCTACTAACACTAATTTTAACAGTTCACGGACCTATGAATTCAATGATTAAGGACACAGAGATAACCAACATAAATAACCGTAATGAAAAACAAATATTTTAAAGTACATAACAACCAATGATTGGGAAACCTGTACATTCTTGAAATAACAGATTTTTCATATCACTTTGCATTCATACATTACTTTGTAAACTGCAAAACACAAACACCTAAACCAGCGTTAAATAACATATCCAAACTATTTCCTAACAAAACACCTTTTGAAGAGTCTTGACATTCTACAGTGCAATGCATCTGATAGAATAAAATACAGATTGTCAACATAGTAAAATTGTACTTCTCTCTCTTAATGAATCAGATTTTCACTAAATTTCACAATGTAGAAATATTTGATTTTTTATTTCATTTGTCAAAAAAGTAAAGGAGTTATCTGCCCTTTAAACATCTCCCATACAGGGCAATAAAAGGCACTTACCAGGATCTGAACCATGTCATGTTTGAGGTACTGTCTGTCAGGGGCCACCAACTGTAACAAAGAAATAACAATGTTTGCATTATAAGTGAAGATTGTAAATGGCTTACTTGTAAATATGACAGATGGTACGCTTGTAATAATACATGCCAACTTTACACACCATGGGCTAGGGAGTGCTGTCTTAAACATGATAAAACTAATAACATTCATTGTCTAATTGAATTACAATAACAAAAATGGATGCATAACATCTAGTTTCCAACTGAAAGCTGTGAAATTTGTATAATACAATATTTATTATTTTCAGAAAATTCCTATCTCAGAGAAAATAAAATTCCCAGAGTTATTATTATTGATATTGCCATGAAGAGTATTATGCCTAACATCATATATACATGATTCACTAGAAGCACTAACTGTAAATATGTAAGAGACTTACTGGAGACATATCTGGAACAAGCAGTTCAAGCTTCTTGAGTGTGCTCTGTTGGTCCTCCTCATGCTGGCTTTCATTTACTGTTCCCAGTTTGATGGCAAAATTGTGCATCACTCGCTCTGCCTCCTTCAATAGTGGAAAATCTGGGTGATCAGGTGGCGTGTTCTCTATCAGACGCTGAAAGAGGAAATGGAAAATGTGGAAAAGTAATCATAGGATGGAGTTAAAAGAGTTAGTTATTCAAAAAATCAAATCTACAGCAAAATTACGTTGTGTATTCTATACACCTCAGGGCCAAGACATACTCGTACACTCAAAGTAGGGGTAGGGCATACTGAGGAACAATAGCATGATTTTATGTTAAAATCTTAACTGAACATTAATAAGCATGGGTGGGCTTATTACCAGGCATGGGTTAATGCTAGTTTATTATGGTATGTTACATACTTGCTAGCACAGAAATATACAAACAGTTTTAACAAAAGCAATTACTGATGGACATTAGAGACTAGTTTTAGTAAAGCTCAGATAATTATCTAAGACTGTAATGCACCTATGATTTCACTGTATATATTTAACCTTAATTTCATAACAATAACGAAATGCAAATACACCCCAAAATGTGACAAATATTCTATCTGATTAAATGCAACTGCTTTCCTTACTTGTATGAGAAGTTCATAGCGTGGTATTCGCTGGATTGGACGGACAATCAGGTCCTTCATGGACAATTTGCTCCCACTGTCTCTTTGGCATTGCTGAAACAAGGAAGAAAGAATGAAGTATTCAGTACTAAGCTTGAACAGTAAGTTAATAAAAACCTTTCAGTCTTATGACAGTGTAATACACCTTCACAGAACTTCTTCAGCCCAAGTCGAACAGGTCTCGTATAAATACACGTGAAAGATTCAGCCTTACAAGAAACTGATACACACAGCACAAAATCAAAGAGACTTGGTCTTACAACACCTTTGTAAATGATAAATAACACAAAATTTACAAGGCTTAGCCCTATAACACCTTGGAAAAATACACACAGCACAAAATCAATTAGGCTTGGTCTTTGTAAATGATAAATAACACAAAATTTACAAGGCTTGGCCCTTTAACACCTTTGAAAAATACACAGCACAAAATCAATTAGGCTTGGTTTTACAACACCTTTGTAAATGATAAATAATGCAAAATTTACAAGGCTTAGCCCTTTAACACCTTTGAAAAATACACACAACACAAAATTAGTATGGCTTGGCTTAACTAATGATATATATATAGCACAATAATAATACAAACAACACAAATTTAACAAGGCTTGGCCACAAAGCACCTTTTAAGTGATACACACAACACATAATTAACAAAACTTGGCCTGAAAATACTACGGTAATACACAGTACAGCACAAAGTTAATGAGACCTCAGCCAATAACTTTTGTTATAGAGCCTATGGACAGCAATATAATGAATTTATTGGTTAATAGATACAAAAGCCTTATATCTAGCCTATCTTCCCCTGATACCGTAGAACATAACAAGGAAATATCTCCACTTCCATCACCAAGGAGTAGCATAAAACTTAATTCTGGACAGATCAGCCTCTCTGTTTCACACCCACATACACATGTGTAATACGAAAGTCACATGATACCTGTAGAATGTGTATTTCTTTAAACCAACTCACTCTTCTGATCCAAAAGTTTAGAATTTTATGTCTTCAATAAGCTCAGAATTTGTTTTTATTTGTGATTCTGCTTTTCTCATACCATAATTTTACACAAATTAGACTTGAATATTTATCATTACATGAAAAGAAATAAAAGAGACATTAAAATGATGTAGAACTACTGGAGAGGATGAAGTTGTGAGATTTATAATCCACAGCAGAAAACATCGAGATGATCTCTACCAAAACATTGTACCATCTTCTACATTCAACTGTTCTCAAAGGCTACAACTGCAGTTTTATTGCCAGAAAAATGAAATACATAACATAATCATACCATTAATTTAGAATTAACAAGAATTTTGCAGAATTTTAAGTCTCAATGTCTCAACACTGAATAAGATTAAATCTCGCAACATATTCAACTTAAGCACAAAATAATGACCCTGTTTTATATATCAAATACAAATGTCTATTGGAAGTGTTCAAATCAATCGGAGAATAAGTGATGGAGATGTATCATTATTCTTAAAATCCAATAAAATTTCATTGTTTTTCATACTACATAGACCAAAGTAATCCCAATCTATTTATTGTATTATTATTAAGCTGCTACAAACCTATACCAATTTGCTTCAAGTACTTAAACCTTCTGATTAACTAATGTGAAAATAAAAGGAGACAACCAACAGGTCAACAAGATCTGAAACTCACAATGACTACCAACAGGTTAACAAGATCTGAAACTCACAATAACTACCAACAGGTTAACAAGATCTGAAACTCACAATAACTACCAACAGGTTAACAAGATCTGAAACTCACAATAACTACCAACAGGTTAACAAGATCTGAAACCCTCAATGACTACCAACAGGTTAACAAGATCTGAAACCCTCAATGACTACCAACAGGTTAACAGGATCTGAAACCCTCAATGACTACCAACAGGTTAACAAGATCTGAAACCCTCAATGACTACCAACAGGTTAACAAGATCTGAAACCCTCAATGACTACCAACAGGTTAACAAGATCTGAAACTCACAATAACTACCAACAGGTTAACAAGATCTGAAACTCACAATAACTACCAACAGGTTAACAAGATCTGAAACCCTCAATGACTACCAACAGGTTAACAAGATCTGAAACCCACAATGACTACCAACAGGTTAACAAGATCTGAAACCCACAATCAACGAAATATCAAAATCTGAAAAAATGACTAAGAGAGAAGACTCAGTAAAAGTTCAAAGAAAATATTAAGATCAACAACAAGACCAGGTGTTCTGGAAGAGTAAGCTTCTTTTGTATTAATGTTGGTGCCGATGGAAAGGTATATTCAGCACCTTAAGACTTCCCAATGGATAAAAAAAGTGGTATATGAAAATTTGTTAAAATAGCATCATTTGACATGCAGCCTCGTAAAAGTGTTTGACAATACAGTCGAACCTCATTATCGCGAAGTCAACGAGACTATGGGAAAACTTTCAGATAACTGAGTGTTTGCTTTAGTGAGTTTAAATGTTTTGTGTAAAGTTAGCCTCAGTTATCAATGCTTCAAATTAAATAAGGTCTTCAAGTTAAACAGGTTCGAGATAACAATATTTGTCTGTATATAGTTAACAAGAAAAGATGATAGTCATAAACATGTCAATGGAAAAGAAAAAAATGTTTTATGTGAGAATTAAAAATGTAATTTCCTCGTTTAAAGAAAAAAAAACCAAGAATCCTCAACCAGGAAAATACCTTGCTATAGAGTATAGTGATGGGATTTTATGGTGTTTTTGTCCCATGATATAATGATTACACCATAATGGTCACATGGACTTTTATGCCCACTGTGTTAAGTAGAGGATGGACTACACTGAAGTTAATCCCACCCTTATACACATGCCAAAACATTCTCAGACAAATCTTTATCATTAATGCTAAGTAACAAACAGCATTGTGTAGCTTTCAAAACTTAGGCTGTGTTATGGATCATTCCACATTTAATTACAGGTGTTCAAAGTAAAGGAGAGGTCTGTAAGGATCTTGAAGTCCTGCTAAATTATAGTTATGACCATTTTCTGTAACATTGATCAAGATAAGACATGGATCACACACAAAACTAAACTGGAATAAGGAACTTTCCTGGCTTCAATTACAATGTAAAAGAAAATGATTACATCATCCCAAACTACACATGGAGGTCAGCTTACTGCTGGTTCTTACACTATATGCATAAAGAAACAACTTTCAACAGCCCAATTTTCTCAGCTTGTAACCTGATAAATCAATAAATCCCTCTTAATGAGCTGAGAGATGATGACATCATCACACTGTTAAAAAGTATGTCTTATTCTAGAGACAGAGCAGGAATACAGCTGTATACTCAGAGGTGTCAGCAAAAGGAAAAGGTCATGTAGGCCTGTATTTACAGGTCATCACATGGAGGGATTCTAGACATTAACAGAAGTAGCTGTAGTGTAATAAGACAACCCATAGTGGGAAAACCATGAATGGGTTTCATGGGCTAAATCTCAGAAATGAGATTGATGTTTAGATTCTAATATCCTTCCAATTATTTTTTTATCTGGATAAGACAAGTTTATATCCTACCAATATCTGACAACTTCAATATATCATAATGTAAAGATTAACAGTGCATCTCATCACTTTAAACACTGTTTACTCTTAAGTTTTGTTCTGTCATCTAATAACTTAAAGAAAACTCTTTTCAGTTCATTGCATTGATTATACACAGACTGACCATTCAAACAGTCTGCTTAATATTTCTTAATAGTTCACTATTTCATATACCTACAGTCCCTTACCACTATACATACCTACAAATACCTACAGTCCCTTACCACAAAACATACCTACACATACCTACAGTCCCTTACCACTAAACATACTTACAGTCCCTTACCACTAAACATACCTACACATACCTACAGTCCCTTACCACTAAACATACCTACAAATACCTACAGTCCCTTACCACTACACATACCTACAGTCCCTTACCACTAAACATACCTACACATACCTACAGTCCCTTACCACTATACATACCTACAAATACCTACAGTCCCTTACCACAAAACATACCTACACATACCTACAGTCCCTTACCACTATACATACCTACAAATACCTACAGTCCCTTACCACAAAACATACCTACACATACCTACAGTCCCTTACCACTAAACATACTTACAGTCCCTTACCACAAAACACACCTACACATACCTACAGTCCCTTACCACTAAACATACCTACAAATACCTACAGTCCCTTACCACTACACATACCTACAGTCCCTTACCACTAAACATACCTACACATACCTACAGTCCCTTACCACTATACATACCTACAGTCCCTTACCACTTCACATACCTACAGTCCCTTACCACTACACACACTTACAGTCCCTTACCACTACACATACTTACAATGCCTTACAACAAAACATACCTACAGTCCCTTACCACTACACATACCTACAGTCCCTTACCACTACACATACCTACAGACCCTTACCACTACACATACCTACAGTCACTCACCATTACACATACCTACAGTCCCATACCACTATACATACCTACAGTCCCTTACCACTAAACATACCTACAGTCCCTTACCACTTCACATACCTAGTCCCTTACCACTTCACATACCTACAGTCCCTTACCACTACACACTTACAGTCCCTTACCACTACACACACTTACAGTCCCTTACCACTACACATACCCACAGACCCTTACCACTAAACATACCTACATACCCTTACCACTACACATACCTACAGTCCCTTACCACTAAACATAGCTAGTCACTTACCACTACACATACCTACAGTCCCTTACCACTAAACATAGCTTCAGTCACTTACCACTACACATACCTACAGTCCCTTACCACTAAACATACCTACAATCCGTTACCACTACACACACTTACAGTCCCTTACCACTACACATACTTACAATGCCTTACAACAAAACATACCTACGGTCCCTTACCACTACACATACCTACAGTCCCTTACCACTACACATACGTACAGTGACTTACTTCACATATGTAGTCCCTTACCACTACACATACCTACAGTGACTTACCACTACACATATGTAGTCCCTTACCATTAAACATACCTGCAGAAAAAAAATGCAGCTGTGAATGTGCAAATTTAGCCTGAAGATATACAATACTGTCTCCCTTTTAATTGATTTTCTTTCAAAGTTTGTTGCCATATACTGATTAAAGTCCTTCACATCTATGCATGTACAACAAGTACACAGAAAATGTTGAAAGAAAATTTATTTTTCTGTTAAATGGTAAAGCTATCACTATTGGGCAGTAATCAATTTGTGACTGTGTGGTATTTTTAAGTATTAAGACGTACACTGAATATATGTCCCTGCTTCCACCACAATGGAAATAGATGTGAAGCAGAAAATATCGGTTATAATCTAAGTAATTTCTAAAGATGTATACATATAAGAACTTTGACAACTGTTGTAAATTGCCTGTGTTCCATGGTAATCTAATTATATACAAATACAGAGATGAACACTACCAAGAGACTTAACAAATTTCTCATGTCAATGAAAAAAATGCTGTGACCTAATTTCTAAGTGAGGCTTTAGAACTCCTAATGCACATAGAAAAAATATGGATGACAGGGACTTTCAGAATCAAAGAAATTTAGTTGGTTAGAAAGTCTAATGAGCAGTGGTACAGGACATAAACCCACCCCCCCCCCCCCTTTTTTTTTTAACTTTTTATAAATTTCTTTAAATTAAAATTAAGCTTAAAGTCAGAAATTATGTTTGGTTCCAAACCAAATGACAAACATTAATAGCAGTCAGTAAGCAAAACAGATACGTATCCTGACAAACAAGTATAAAGGATGTGGGCAACAGGAAGTCTAGTTAGTTTTCTTACCTCTATAAACTTTTGTACAGAAGATTTTGTCTGTAGGGCATTCTCAATGACCTTTCCTGACGTTCTGTAGTTCTCCACAAACGACAGATAGCTATCAACCACCGTCTGCTTCGAAAACTGCAAAAAGAATATGCCACAAAAATAGTTCTTCTAATCAGAGTGAATATCTACATGATGTTTATTGTAACCTTTTTACTACACAAGTACATCAAAACCAGTCGGGTCTTTGTGTTCTATAGCCGATTCCGGTATCACAATATATAAACACATCTATCTAATGTTTGTTCAAGTTTGTTTTCTTATCTTATATGTACAACTATCAGAGACAAAACACTTGTAACAATTATACTTATAGCTAATGAGTACATAATGTAACATCAGTGCGGCTACAACAAGTCTCTTGAATCCTAACACTGTAGACCTTCGATTCTTGGTCAAGTAATCAGATACAAAAATTATTTCAATGTAAAAAATGTCTCCTCTGTTTCATTTCTGAGTACACAACCAAACTGTTTAAAGTATCTTATATATCATATGATAGCCCTGGGGACCAGCATTAAATTCCGACTAAAATGTCAGGGGGAGGGCTTATTACAAGACCACGAAATTTAAGTCTAAATTTCTATATTAGGACTACATAGTCTTCAAATTATAATTCTCTCATTTCTTATCTAATATCTCCGTAACGACCACATTACACCTTAAATCTACCTGTATACAAATGTCATTATGACATTTCAATAACATCTCTATTTCTTACTCTCATCAAAGTGACCATTTAGAGAAATCAACCAAGGTACAATCTTTCCTGCTGTAATACTGTAATACTGACTTGATTTTTACTGAAGACAACAATTTTACAGGTGTACCTATGAAGACAGAAATGATTATATAATACCAATGGTAATAGGGGTGATATTTACAGGTAACCAACGATGACATCATGTCACATGATACATGTAATTACAAAGCCAATGAAGATGTTTGAGGATATGATGGTGATGTTAGAGGATATGACGATGACCTTAGATGATATGACGATGACGTTAGAGGATATGACGATGACATTAGAGGATATGACGATGACGTTAGAGGATATGATGATGACATTAGAGGATATGATGGTGAGGATATGACGATGACGTTAGATAATATGACAATGACATTTGAGGATATGATGGTGAGGATATGACGATGACGTTAGAGGATATGAGGATGACATTAGAGGATATGATGGTGAGGATATGACGATGACGTTAGATAATATGACAATGACATTTGAGGATATGATGGTGAGGATATGACGATGACGTTAGAGGATATGAGGATGACATTAGAGGTTACTTACGATGCCAATGATAATGTTTCCAATGGTGCTGGTTTTAGTGTCCCACTTTGCCCACACGTTCTCCAGGAAGTCCAGGTATATGGTGTGATGTGTGAGTATCTCTGGGATCATGTAGAATATGTTGTCCACTACTGCCTCATCTATATTACTCGACACTTTCAGTGGGGTCATGTATTTCTGTGAAGAAAGGAAATCATAAAGTTCACATTTCATATTAACCTAATTGAGTTTATTTATATCATGATGCATTGTTCACAGAATCCTTAAGAAGACTTTGAACTGAAATTGAAAAAAATAATTCAACATAGGAAAGAAAGGAATAGGCTGGCACCTTTAAAAAATTTAAACAATAAACTTGACACTAACAGGGAACCTCTATGAACACTTTTATGGTAATTTTGTCTGATCAGAAGAAAGACATCACTATCATGTCTCAGATGTTATACTACACTTACAGACTTAATTTCACTGAAATCAGAATGTATTTAAATTTTAACCAATCAGCAGCCTCCAATTAGCAACCATTTTGGTTCCAATGTCGTCTTTAAATCTTTGAAAGTGTCTTACAGTTGATATTTCTGCCAATTCTCATCTCAATGCTCTATACTAAGATCAAGAAAACGGTGGCCATCTTGCCAACTCAGGAAAAACTTTTTTGTATATCTTAATACCATCCTTATTAATCCCTCCAAGTTTGGTGATAGCTTACAGTTTTGGGGAAAAGTGTCAGAAACATTTATCATGGAAAGCGGAAGAGGGAGAAGAACAATATTACATGTAGCGGTAATAAAATATGGGTAAAATTCATGTTCAGGGCCCAAATTTAGAATCTTTTCCAAATTGTGTTGCTGTTTATTGCTGCAACCCCCCCACCCCCCACCCCCAACAAGAAAAAGTTACCAAAATTCCTAAAATCTTTAAATTTGGTATTTCTATGTCAAGAAACAAAGTCAAGAAGTCTATATTTTCCATTTTCTCTCCAATTTTCACAAAATCACAAAAAAAAAATTCGAAATTTCTGCAAGATGGCAATTTCCCAAAATGGCTGGGAAAACACTGATGTTGATAAGTTATTTTCGAAAATTATCAATTTTCAATACATATACATAGGTATCGGACTATCCTGGTCAATATCAGTAAATTTTGCTTTCTTTTCTCAAAACATGAATGTAAAAGTGTATTAAACCCTCCATTCATATCCATTAAAAAATTTCAAAATGGTGCAGTCTTCTAGAACCCTGCTTTCAGAAATGAATAGAACTTGACTACTGTATTCAAGGTCAACTTAGACAAGCTTAACACTTTTAAACAGTCACCTCAACGATTCAAAACAATTTGAATAATCATTTCTTAATCAAACCTCAGTGAAGTTGAATAGAGGTAACTGTCACTTTATAAATATCAATTTCACGGGCAAAATTTTACAAGTTGAAGATTCATCTCTAGTTGACAGTAGTTTGAGAAACTTCCCATTTTGTTGGACTGGTTGAATAGTCATGATCAAGTTTTCAGACGACCTCTGACCTTTCTCAAGTACATTGATCAAGTCTTCAGACATCCTCTGACCTTTCTCAAGTACATTGATCAAGTCTTCAGACAACCTCTGACCTTCCTCAAGTACATTGATAAAGTCTTCAAACAACCTCTGACCTTTCTCAAGTACATTGATCAAGTCTTAAGACAACCTCTGACCTTCCTCAAGTACATTGATCAAGTCTTCAGACAACCTCTGACCTTTCTCAAGTACATTGATCAAGTCTTAAGACAACCTCTGACCCTTCTCAAGTACATTGATCAAGTCTTCAGACAACCTCTGACCCTTCTCAAGTACATTGATCAAGTCTTCAGACAACCTCTGACCTTTCTCAAGTACATTGATCAAGTCTTCAGACAACCTCTGACCTTTCTCAAGTACATTTTATGTGAAACTTTTATGAATCCCTTAACTTCAAATACTGTGTTATTATATCTACATGTAACTTTGTGTTTCTTACACACAAAAATCAGTTTTTGCTGTAACATACCATTTCAAATGTTTCAAGAGTCATTAAGCTACTTAACAATTCTAACATGAAGAAAGAAAACACAGAGTCAGCATCTTTTACTGTTTATATAATGAGATAAGACTGACTTGATAAGAATTGTAAAGTGAGTGAATGATTGCTGTGTAAAAGTACATTCTATGTATACAGAAATATGTAAACCCAAGGTGCTATATTAGGGCACAATGACATCATCAGACACACCTGGGAAGGATCAAATTATCTAACCTTTAATTAACAGGTCTACAGGACCTGTATGAAGAATCTTTTAACACAGAGTGTGCATTGAGTGCACGCAACAACCTCAGTTTGGTGTATATATATATATTCTGTATAAAAAAGGAAATTCCATCATTACGTGTATACAGTGGTGGTAATCACATTCATTTGATAAGTTGGGGTCTCATTTCTTCCAATTATTATATACATGAATGTAAACCTACCCGCCAAGTTGAATTCTTACCAGATATAGCCATTATGATATTGCTGTATATTATCATTAATTAGACAAAAAAGATGATGAAATCAACTTTGTATATAAGGGAAAAAAATAAAGACATAAACTCAATGTTAAGTAAGCAATTTAACTAGTTCATGGTCGAGTGTAGGTACCGAAGGGCGGTGCACATCAGACGGGGCTAGATATAAGCACTTCCATACGGATTGTGTATCTCTGTCGGTATCTCACAGCACCTAGCTCAAGACATGGATACAGTCAAGCAAAAAACAACAGACAAAATATTTATGTCGACAAACTGCACAGAGATTTGCCATAAAACAAATTATTTTTACATTCATTAGCTCCAGTTGGACCTATGTTGTTCAAACCAGTCAGATCAAAATACAACACTTTTTATACTTGAACAGAATATTTTAGACTGTGTTTTCTCTGTTTACTACATTTAACCGTCTTTTTTATCTGTTTTCTGTATTCACCATTTGATGCTCTGCCTTTTTTTATCTTCTTTAATCAAATAAACTGTGAACATTTTCAAAGTAAGATCAGTCGGTAGCTGTCTGTCCCTATTCTCTTGTGTATGACTTCATAATTGTTTGCTTTGTTGTCTGGGTGACGCACCTCTAACAGTAGCTGATAGATATTGCATTACACAATAACAACGACTTAGACCACAAAAATTGCAAAAATTCAAACCAGAAAACCTAGTGATATATATATATAAATAAACGATAGTCAAATCTATCAGCTAACTCAGTGGCAATGTATGTGTAACCCTATATAATCACAAAAACATTGATATGCCTATATATGTACATTTACCAATCATTGACTGTTTTTGAAATAGGAAGTCACAGCTAGTTTCATGGACACATCACTTTGACGTGAAGAATGACTCAGGTTTTCAAACCAATACTGTACCTGGATCATAAACAGCTTTCTGACAAGTCTACTTTAAAATGAAAATGAAGTACAAAAAACAACTAATGCAATTTTCATTGGAGAAAAACTTCTTGAAATTGTTTTGAACTGAATATCTTTAAAAGTTTGTTATTGTAATGTCAACATATTTCTGAACACATTTTTTACTTTTTTTTTCAATTTTTATTGATGACGAAGTAAAATCTGAAATCTGAATAAATGTACAGAGAACTGATTTTTTCTTCGTCTTCTTCAGAGGTAGAAATGTCAAATTTATCTATACATATACCCTTACTCTTGCTTTTCTCACCTAATCTATTTTTTGCTTGTCTTTTTTTTCTCAAGAAATGACAGAGTGATCTTCACACTCTTAGGAGGTAAATGTGTCAAATTTGTTGAATACATGAACATGTTTTCTTGCTTCTCTCATCCACCTTGGGTTTCTTTATACAAGTACATATGCTGGTCTTTTTTTCTATTTTTTTGCTATATCATTTTACATAAATACTTTGAAAGTCTAAAATATACTCTTAATTCTTTATATGTGTGAAGCCTTAAAAACCTAGCGCATTTAATTAAACATGTCATCATTGATTTCAAGCCTGATTAATAATTTGAAATGATGAAAATTTTCTAGACATGACAGCTAACATTTGAACAGTGTATATATAATCCTTATGTCAACTGAAGGTCACTCAGACAGGCCCATCCAGTGACAAGTACCCTGTCTGCACCACTGGTAATGTACTTAAAGAGATATTGTGGAACTGCTGGGTGAAAACTTGTAAGCTGTCTAAGTGCTAGTGAGTGGACAGTTGAACGGTACCCCCTTGAAGTCAGATTTATATCCTTATTAAACAGTCAAGGAGAATATCAACATCAACCAGCTTTACAGATCTATCTACCTAGTACAGCAAGCATGACCTATAATAGCAGTAAATACGCCCTGATCTGTCCGACGACATAAATATACCTATGTTATATAACTAGCATCTTTTCCAATGTGATGCTCCTGTGTCAAATGTAAAACACATTTAATGACATGACACAATTTTGAAAAACGACCCATCCTGGTTGACCTTTCCTTCAATACTGAGCTGTGAGTTATATTAGATTAAACAATATATTGATGACATTCTTCTGTGATATCATGTTCTGGAACAAGTAGATAATAAATTCAATATGATATGGCAATTCATGTCAGCTTCAAAGTTAACCTGATAAGCCATTTTTGTATATCCAAAATAACATCCCTATTGTTGTTAAATAAATGTTGTACTTCAGATGTACAATACGGGCAAGTTAGAAGCAGTGTCAAGTACACAGAATCAATCACACATATCTGTATTTATCACATGACTACGCTATCATTAATGTAATAATACTTTATAGACTTTATATACCACATATGTAATATATATATATATAGGACCTGTGAAGGTGTGACTGACTTTGGGTTACTGTTGTTTTCATTGCGATCATAACTTCATGGCGCCATATGTATTTTGACGTTTATCTAAGAGAGAGGGGGCAAAGTCAAAGTAAAGCTACTTCAGATTTTGTATCGGTTAAATATAAATTAAATAATTTTTCACAAATGCTGGAAGAGATTATGTGTGTTATCTGTGAAAAACAGAATCTTACATTTGTTTCCATATGTAATTTCATTTTAACTCACTTTAATGGAAATTCTTGCAAGATCCTCTAATTTTTTCCATGTACCACAAATCAATCCTAAAGCAATACCAACTTGACTCAGTCCCAGTTATATTAATCCATTTTTTGTATTCATAACTACTAACATAACATGTACAGGTGCCTTTAGCTTACATGAAATCTGCAGAATATTATGTCCCATATCTCAGAAGAAGACATAGATATTAACAGGAATGTGATATTTATTTATTTTTGATGTGCCTGACTTGTTTCTTGTACAAAAATTTTTAAATCTAAATTCATTTTCCATTTTGGTAGCAATGAAGTTTTCATCTGTTAAGTGAATTATACTTTCTAATGCTACCTTACAAAGAGCTTGATTAGAGAGCAGTTAATGGGGACTGTGAGTATGGATATTTTTTTCATTTCTCAGAATGTTTGTATCTACTGACACCAGAGGAAAATCATTGTTATAAAAACCCAACGAAGACTTGAATTAATAATTGTTAAATGTCTTTAAAAGTTCCATAGAATAGAGTGGCAACATACAACACAGCCTTATCACCCCATTAATCCTTGCTATCACTGTAAGGAGACTAAGTGTGTTTTAACCTTCACCTCCATGCTGATCAATAACAGCACTAGTCACCTGTTTTATATAACCAAAATTAGAACTTGACGACACCTTTCTAATTGGTGATGTAGCAGATTTCACATCAATATGCTAAGTTTATTGAACAGCTGGGGTCATTTTGAGCCAGGGTCATTTTGAACAGAGGTCTCCTTGTGTTAGGCGGTGGCTACTTTACTGAACGGAAAGGCCATTACATGCCACCAGAACAATTAGGGTCATGTGTTTTGTCCTTTGACACAACCACTTCAACACAAACTGGTCTGTTTCTCAGCAGTAGTTAGAAAGAGCTTTAAATTCTGGACTTTGGAAAGAAGAATTTTATTTATTGACACCAAAGGATTTTCACATGAAGCATTAGATAACGCTACAATACAAAATACGTAATACAATACTTACATCTTTGAGTTTCTGTAAAGCCTCTACATATTCTTTTTCATTGTGGTAAAATTCTTCAACAATATGATATCGCTTGTCCTGTAACAGAAAAATCAGTACACATTGACATATATTAATGTTCAGTATGACAAATATTAATTTGATAATTATCAACATTTAAGAGGGGGGGGGATATATAATTAACTACTTGAAACAAATCAAAGTTTCTCTAGCGATTTATAAATGAATGGCTATACTGGTTTTTATATTCCTATAGGTGTATAATCCCTCTAATTACATGTAAGTAAAGTAATTAAACCAAAGAGCCAAGGTCAAGGTCAAGGTAGAGATAGCAGTAGTGTATTTATCAGGCTTAAGACCAGGGGGCAAACATTGCCTCTGACTCAAAGAAGATGGAGGGAGGAGGGGGGCTTAGTACAGGACAATGCTAATGTTGTATTTGCTTGCTTTCCATACTGAAACTGCAAAATATTACCAGGTTTCATCTTAATTGCTTAATTAATTGGATAAATTATATGGTATCTACTGTACCAAAATTTGATAATATCAAATCTATCATCATTATCAATATGCTAAAAGCAGCAAATTTTTGGAACTCCACAATATCTCACAGACTGGCTGTAGTGCATTTAATGCAGCCAAGATATACAGAGGTTTAAGTTTTGAGATGGCCCCTATCAGCTGATATATATATATATATCTGGAGCAGAGACAGAGCACAACACACAAGATCTACTTGCCTCACAAACAGCATTTTCTCAACCTCTAATTATCAACACTGCCTCGCCATTTAACGGCATTTGTTTCTCATCAGTACCAAAAGTAAACTTATTCTTCACTACCTTGTGTGCGATGTTCACCATGTAGTCAAGTTATGCTCAGTAAACATGCAGGCAAAGATGCATTTTCCATGTAATAAAAAAAGGGTGGGCCTCATCTGCTTTCTTAAAATACCACAGATACCTCATCAAATAAAGCATGTAACCTTTGACCTTGATTAATAACTTCCACAACATGTAGCACTACCTAATAACCACTAAAGAGCTTGGGGGTACCCAGATTTAGGAATAATTCAATGTATCTTGTCCTGTTATATGATACAGAGAGTAGTCATATGATACTGTGTATGTCTAGTCACATGATACGGAGTATGTCTAGTAACATGATACTGTGTATGTCTAGTCACATGATACTGTGTATGTCTAGTCACATAATACTGTGTATGTCTAGTCACATGATACTGTGTATGTCTAGTCACATGATACTGTGTATGTCTAGTCACATGATACGGAGTATGTCTAGTCACATAATACTGTGTTAGTCACATGATACTGTGTATGTCTAGTCACATGATACTGAGTATGTCTAGTCACATGATACTGAGTATGTCTAGTCACATGTTACTGAGTATGTCTAGTCACATGATACAATGATCAGTGACATAACATCTCACAATCAATTCACAAGACACATATTGTGCAATCATGTTAACAAACTGTCAATCATTACGTTTTTGACCTTGTACATGAATTTTACATGACTAATTCATGATTCAACTTGAAGAAATTTAGACTTTTATTCCTTGAGCTGATATGGCACGTTGTACGTTTAAGGCAGAAAAATGACCATCTAGCAATCGTATTCATTGGGTTGTAATTACAGAATTTTTAGAAACTATGATGCATTGACCCTGACCTTGAGGAAACAGACCCACAGTTTACATGTCTGTATACCTGTCTGTGGTCTTCACCTTAATGTGACCCTGACCTTGAGAATGCAGACAAAACAGATTAAATATCTGTACACATGTAACTGTAAACTTTAGGATGCCTCTGAATTAGAGGATACAGATACTTCCGTTTGTGTAAACCTGTTTGTGTCCCCCACATTATTGTGACCTTGACTTAAAAAATACTGATCAATATATCATATCTGTAAACCTGTTTGTGACCCTGACATTATTGTGACCTTCACCTTTAGGATACTTATCCTCTAGTTGACATATCTGTAAACTTGTTTGTGACCTTGACATTATTGTGACCTTGACATTATTGTGACCCTGACCTTTAGATTACAGATTCTTGAATTAACATATCTGTAAACATGTTTGTGACCCTGACATTATTGTGACCCTGACCTTAAGAATACTGGTCAATATATCATATCTGTAAACATGTTTGTGACCCTGACATTATTGTGACCCTGACCTTAAGAATACTGGTCAATATATCATATCTGTAAACCTGTTTGTGACCCTGACATTGTGACCTTAAGCATAGAGATCCTGAGTAAATCTATCTGAAACCTGCTTTCAAAAAGTGATTTATCAACCTGTTTTTCCACAGATTTATGACACACTGTTATAAAACATGAAACACTATTCACATTGATTAAACTCTTACGTTTTAAATTTGAAAGTCTCAATATGACAAGCAGAATTTACAAATCAAGGACTACCTAACCACTGTAAATGAATATACAGATCCACAAGCATATGCAATTAGGAGAATTATCTTTACTTAATCTAAGATAAATACTATGAGGAAGAAATAAAACTATAAAAAAGTAGTACAAATAATTCATAATTTGTGAGATATCTTTAATTTTTTACATTCCAAGACAGAAAGACGGAGGACTAACATCTTTATAAACACACTCCGCTCTGTGCTATACATTTTATATGGTTTGTATGATACAGAAAAGAGGATTTAAAGATAGAAACAATCTCAAGACATTCTGAGAGAAAGACAGCCACTGAGTATATACCAAGAGTTGAAGATAGAAACAAACAAGTTTCTACACTATCTATATATACGGGGGCGATATAAAAGAAACAGAAAAGAACAGAGAGAAATGGATGGATTTAGAGATGTTATCCATCTTGATTCCATGTTGTCCCACCACACCGGCTGGGTAGTAAACCACTTGGTTGATACTCTCTGAAGACTTAATATGATATCACCAAAACAGCTGTACCAAAGTGGATAAAAGAACATTAAAGTGAGTTCAGTAAGGTACATACCCTCAGTCCATATCCACAGCAGGTAGCACCTCGAGCCAGCAATGGACTGTGTATGCATGTCTGTAGTGATTGACATTTTCTGAATTTCTAACATTCTTCAACCAATAATTTCTAAACTGAAGGTGTTGGGAGAGCGGTGCTATTACCTCACCCTGTGTATGTATAAATTCCATCCCAAATCTCCTTAATTAAATGGTCCATGTGTCCTTATTCAAACAGCTTCAATAACTCTTTTGTTACAGCAGGAAATGTATAAAATTGTATGAAATACATGTCTAGGTTTAAATAACAGTAGACTGATTCTCACATGTCTTATATCATCAAGCTTATATCAATTCTTATAGGGTATCCATGGTACATACACTGACTGGCATTTTTAACCTTCATAAATCTCAACTTACAAACTGTATCAGCAGACAACTCATTGTACAAAAACAATGTATATCTTATGTGTAAGAAAATACTTATGTATTTGAAGCTATATTTATTTAATCTAAGAAATATGAACTTCATATACATTTATGTAACTTTTAAATATTACTTTATAAAAAATATATTATTACTGTAAGGGAGACAGCTATGGAACTTTCATAACAAAATATATATATATATATATATATATATATATAGAGGTTGGGGTTGATAACTCAGCCTTGCCAAAACTACCAAAAGTTGGGTGACCTTTGAGTTTTGAGTCTCTCATCCTTTTAATTTTATCCCACTGACTGTGAAATTTTACAAAGCTGGTCAGGAGTTCTGTTTCTGCAAGAGGTCACAATGATCTTCTGTAGGAAGCAAATGCACCTCCTTGTAGATCTATATAGGAATTCAATCCTGTGAAATTTTCACCTGTTTAGGTGTATTACTTCTTTCTACACTGCTAATATAAATATTGTTAAGTATTCCATCAAAAGATCCGTGAAATCTCCAGTAAATATTAGCTACTCTACTAGAAATGTGAAATCTCCCTCACTGATGTGAAATCTCCTATAAATATTAGCTACTCTACTAGAAATGTGAAAAATGTGAAATCTCCTACTCTACTAGAAATGTGAAATCTCACTGATGTATAAATATTAGCTACTCTACTAGAAATGTGAAATCTCCCTCACTGATGTGAAATCTCCTATAAATATTAGCTACTCTACTAGAAATGTGAAATCTCCCCCACTGATGTGAAATCTCCAGTAAATATTAGCTACTGTACTAGAAATGTGAAAACTCCTCCACTGACGTAAAATCTCCTGTAAATATTAGCTTCCCTACCAGAAATGTGAAAACTCCTTCACTGATGTAAAATCTCCTGTAAATATTAGCTTCACTACTAGAAATGTGAAAACTCCTCCACTGATGTGAAATCTCCTGTTAATATTAGCTTCCCTACCAGAAATGTGAAAACTCCTTCACTGATGTAAAATCTCCTGTAAATATTAGCTTCACTACTAGAAATGTGAAAACTCCTCCACTGATGTGAAATCTCCTGTTAATATTAGCTTCCCTACCAGAAATGTGAAATCTCCCCCACTGATATGAAATCTCCTGTGAACGCTATCTAAATATTATACTCCATTAGCAATATGAAATCTCTATCACTTACATAAATTATAGTACTTTCCCAACAATGGGAAATCTCCTGTGAATATAGGTATATTCATATCCATTAAACAGTTAAAATCTGTGTATCTTATTTGAATGTAAAAATTAGACAAAACACCCTCCATTAGAAATGTTAAATTTTCATCCACTTTACATGTCAATGTACTTATTTAAAAAGTACTGTGTAAGTGTAAATATTTTAATATGTTTAAGAAAATTCTCTTTCCTTAACAACAGATCTATTTGAAGTTATCCTGGAAGATGCAAAGAAAATCTATTTGCCTCCACTGGTAAAAAGTTGTGATTTTTATTTCTTATTGTTTGTTTTTTGAGACATCCATCCTCGAATGCTTTCCCAGGCTACCAGAAATGTCTTCAGCTTGCAAATCTGTCATTTCAGTGACAAAAGGTAACACTATAGTCAGCTTTATCTTTCGTTAAAATTGACAGTACAAAATAA